GTGCAGATGCAATTGTGAGCATATTCCCACTAAACATATTGTATAAAAGAAGCTTGTTTGTTATGCTCTGAGTTTGAACGGCAATCTGACAAACTACGCAGAGATCGTTTTACAGTCGATATTTCATTTGACCGTCATGTCCAACACGTTTTTTACCTCTCAATTAACATCTATTTGAAAAAACGTTGAAAAGTTCCAATAATAACCGAGGCCAAGTGACACATTTGTGTGGATATTGAGATATTCAAAATGAGCAGGATGATGAAAACGCATTCAGATTAAATTATTTGATGATTGCTAGTGATTACATCTCATTGGATGAAAATATGTGCCTGAGACTCTCCTCTCATTCAAATTAACAGAAGTAAACTTGTCTCCATTGATGACAAAAGACAAATCCTGGACTGATTCGCTGATTATTAACTGCTCAGGATACATATTTTGAATTGGAGCTCAATTAGAATACAGTCCTCCTGGACAGACATTTTAGTAAGTGCTGTGCTATCTTTGGTTAACAATATTTTGCTTGCCTTTTTCTTGCTGGAGTTTTGCCTGCAACGTAATCCAATCTTAAAGGTAAAAGATGCACTGTTTGTTTGCAGCAGTGTTGAAAAGTATGATGGGTCATGTCCGTCTTGTAAGCCAATATTAAGGATCACATATTTTTAAAAGGTTTGGTCATAGATTCTAGCTTCTAGCACATTCTGCAGTGTAATATCACACGTACCTTTGGGTAATCCTCTCATTATTTTTAACACCAAATGAATACGTAAACACTGATATTAAGTCAAAACAGTGGTGGAAAACGTTATATTAAGGTCCTTGAAAGGGTTGGTTAAGTCAAGGATAATCTCCTCCTAGCCCATTATCAGGAAGTTTACTCTGCTTTGTCTCCTCAAAGTTTAGCATGCCATGTATGGCTGGAGCGATGAAGGGATGGTCACCATTTGCCTTTTGGACCAAACTAGGTTTAGGCGGAGTGGCCTCTGGCTTTTCCCGTGTGGAGCAGCTCCAGGTGGATATTACATCAGCATTACCAGGCGTGGGGAAAGCCTTGGTGATCTTCATGGTGACATATTAGGCTCTTTCTAACTGGTAATAGTTTTGGTCTAACTAACACTTCAGTCCCTGCTGCTAATGTTTTCAGCAGAACTACACTTTCACAATGGAGGGATTCAAAGAAACAGAAAACTAAATATATTCTCTGTGTGAGATATTCACTTTCCAAAACTGCAGCACCACCCCTTCTTCCCAGTCCTGTGTATTTTCATCGCTTTAACTCAAATATAAAATAGAAGGTTTTGAGAGCCAAAAGTCTGCAGAAATTTATTATTCATCCCCAAAGTGAAGCGGGCTGGGTGTAGTGATGACCTCAGAGGGGGGTAGAAGCCATTTTCTGATTGCAGTCCCTGTAGTGCCTCTCCCCTGGGTGGAGTGGAGGGCCCAGCTGGACACTTCAGAGGGATGTGAATATGTGTTGGAAACTGAAGGGATTTTGAGAAGGTTTGGATAGCAATATGCAAAAATCCTCTGAGGGAATCCAACATAGGGCTGTGGAGCCTTTACAAGCATAAAGAACATTCTCATCTTGTGCTGCATTATGTGGATGTCGTCATCTAAATAAAGTAACTGACAGCTCTTCAAACTCCCTGGACTGTTTCCAGGGCTGCTTCGCTCTATATGGATCAGGCCAGTGAACCAAGAGTGAAATATACTGTGAGACAACTGACTACAGTAATCTTATAGTCACGGTCCTCTAGCTAAAAAATAAATAATGGCTTGCTAACATGTTGTAGTATGATTGCTGCAATGCACTAAAAAGCAGGGAGCAGATGGGAGACAATGGGCCGCTGTGCCTGACTTTCCTCTCTCAAGGAGATTAAGGTCAATGCTCACAGCTGGCTGCACACTGCAAGAGTATTTATTGCAAATAAATTTCTTAACATTATGATTAGTGAGGGTCACTGTTAAACTTCCGCTGTGTCAATTTTTCTTCTCCAAAGACGTTTAGACGTTTAGGCCATGGTTTCTATTTTTTGGGTCTGTTGTGCAATATTGTTAATGTGCCTGTTTTCTTAGAAGATTGTTGGTGTTCAGCCAATTTGACTCTACCACGGCTGCATAATATCATAGGTCTATCTAATTTAGCAGTGTCTTACTGATCTAATGTGCTGGCCTGAAGTCTGTGTAATCCATTATCCTAGGGAGACGTAACTATGCCGAGGCTTTCAGTGATTAACCGCTCATTTCGGACTCCGCAATTGACTCTGCTTGAAAATAACTTGCGCTTCTCCCCACAAAGCCGGACCCGTGAGCTGACATGTTGATAAATTAGTCATTTGTTTTGCTTTCTGCTCTCTGGCATTGCTTCATGTTGGTCAAGTGTGAGCTGAGACTAGATTTGTTTATGAGTGAGGTTAAAATGGACCCAGAGATTGACAGCGGGATTGCCACATGTGGTTATGCAGGCACTTTACTAGAGTTGGAGTTGAGCTCAAAGACAGAGTGCAGGGTTAAGTGCTTGGACATTGGAGGCTGTCCGATAGCTTACATTCATACTGCACAACTACCCCCCCTCCTTGGTTCTCCAACAAGCCCCGTCTTAAATCTTGGCCGCCTGTCTCTATCCCACAGCCTCTAAACAGCCTCAAGCAAGTCCCATTGTGCTCTGCTCTTGCAATATAGATCCAATCACATTCGAGCTCCAGCAGGCTCACAGCGTTGTCCGTGACCCTGACTTGGCGGCTGGAAAGGTGATGACCACTACGGGTGCAAGGCTCCAGAGATTATTGGGGGAAATTCTAGAGCATCCATCTTTTTTCTACAGTTGCCATTATTTAAAATCTAAAAAGCCAATTTCTTGCGTGAAAATGTATTAAACGTGAGTTAAATTATGAAAAAGAAAAGGAAAATTGGAAAAGGAAGAACACCTGCTCTTTAGTAGCCTCAATTCTGACTTCAGGAATTAAAACCTGACCCAGTGTGGCTGTCTATCAAAACCGGCTAATTTAATTTGCCAAATAAAATAACATCTGGTCTTTTGATTTATTGACTCAGTAAACGTTGCAAACATGAGTTTATGATCTCAATCAGTATTTCAAGTCATCTTCATTACGCATGATGTTCATTTAGTAAATGATGGTGTCATTTAGACTAAAACAGACTATGGAGTGGAGTATGGTTCAGGGCGGTCTTACTGTCATTGAAAGGTTGCCCCCGGAACCAAAGTTATTCATCACTCCTCCGCAATCCAAATACGGTAACTTCCATTCATTGGTTGCAATAAAATGCACAGATGGCAAAAGTTGCATTTTAAGATTATTTCCAATAATTTAACTTCATATACGTATATATTGTATGTTCCACCTGTTGTTGATGCAAGTTACTTGTAGTATCTGAGTTGTCTCTCACTCTAATGACAAGAGACTTTTGTAAGTCAAGTTAACGTCAACGACACCATTAAAAGCTGTATCTGCATTTATGGCTTTTGTTACCACGAGGCCCCTTTAGGTGACCACTGGCAGTCATTTACTGTAACGGTTACTGGTACCGGCACAGGATGGAACCCAAGAGCACGACTCAGACAATGATGAGAGAGACAGGTAGATTTACTCAAAAGCTCAGGCAAGGTCAAAACCGGGAGATCCGTCAGCAGGCAAACAAATCCAAAGGGGCAGGCAGAGAATCCGTCGAGGAGACTAGGCGCGAGTCAGAACCAGGACTGCAATAAGGCAGGCAATCAAATCCGAAAAGGAGCAGGCAGAGAATCCGTGGCCGAAAAGGCAGGTACGGTCCGAACGGAGGTGAATCGGGCTAACTGAGAAAACGCTTGCAAACTTGGCAAAACACACAAGACAATCTGGCAGGGAAAACACAGAATGTGACTGGCTTAAATGGTGAGTGGCTGATTGACGGGAGGTGCTGCAGGTGAGGAGGGCATTAGGCGAGGGTAATGGGCTGATGATGTGAGAGGATCTGAAACGACAGGAGAGTTAGATAACAGGTAAATACAGGTAAAATTAAAATAAATAGGATGTGGTCAAATGTGTGACATTTACTCCAACGGGGAACTGAATGTGAGCACAGAATGTCACCAATTATCCTGCTCTACGTTCAATGAAGTAAATATGGGACCCTACGAGAGCGGTAGAGAACCAGATTCCTGTCATTTTACTGCAGCAGTCCACCCCGGTCTGTTCGGGTTCTGGTTCTCCCTTGCTTGCCATCACTCCAGTGGGACCAGTACGGCCACGGCTTCCTGCAGCGTGGTGTTGGCTCCCAGCGGGCACCGGACCGGAGCTGTCCTCTTCCTGCCGCAGGATGCAGGTAGAAGGCGGGAGCGGAGCGTGATTGGGGTGAGATCAAGGTGGGCTGTTCTCTGCCGGGGACCCAGCAGGAGTTTGAGCTGAAAGTGTGTTTCTGGTGAACCTCTTATTTGATTTTGTGCTGAATCCAGTGGCACAGATGACAAGCATTACAAATAACTACATAGAAAACGACAATTGTCTTGGCTTTAGCAAATAGAATATGTTGAATAAAAATGTCCATTAGTTTTGCTTTAGCCATGTTAATTCCTTTATTCAATGAGTTACAGGCGGAATGTCACATTCACATTAGACAATATAATTCTGTATGGCTTACCATACAACTACTGCATTGACATGTCAATCATAATGTTTTGGTTTCTGAAATTGGAATAATAGTACTACTAATAAAAATGATAATGTAGTGTAAGAAAATCCAAAAAACACTCATGACTTATGCATTATGTTTCTATTTTAAAAAATCAATTATTGTATAAACGCAATTAGGCGATTGCTATACGGTTATAAGTACTCATAAGTACCACAGCTGGAAGCGGCCAGCACCCTCCCACAATACGTCCCCTCCCTTCAACGTGCTCACCAAACAGGGCGCATCCTCAAACTGTTGAACCACGCATGCGTCAACTTCGGAGGCTTTCCTGATTTGACAAACCCTGGAACCCACCACACACACACACACACACACAGCCCACTATGTGGCAAGCCTCCCCGTTCCTAGCGCACCATCATCTGCACCTGCCCACTCCGTTGTCGTGGTTGGAGCGCTGGGAGGGGTCAGTATTTCGCAGGCGCGTGTAGGAAGACGAGGCATTTCCCGAGACACCGACGGCAGCGTGTAGCCTCCGATTCAGCACCACACGGTCGAGGAAAGCGTCCGGGTAGCGTCTATTTGTCCCCCGCTCGCCGTGGGTTAACTGCACAAGAGGACACCATTTTTTTGGTGGAGGGGAGGGGGGGAAATAACTCAGTGAAACCAGGCGCTGCACACACTTCGTGGACCGTCAAGAGGTGTCATCTGCAACGGTTAAAGGTGCGTATTGTCAGACGAATGCTGTGGTTTGTCAACTGGAAGCTGCTGCCCCCCCCCCCCTCTTTTTTTGTATTGTTGCTAGCGGCTCGGTAGCATCACACTGGCTGCACTGCCTGACCCTCCGTGCAGCTAACGTTAGCTTAGGCGAGGTCCTGCTTTTTAAAAATTCATAATTATGCGAGTCGGGCAGTGTTAAACTAGTGAATCCCTGCAACGTAATGCTGAGCTAGCTGCTCGATATACTAGCAGCATGCTTCCGTGTACTGAGGTCCGTCGCTCCTCGTCAGACGAAAAAAAAAATCTGTGTCGCCCAGTCTGCTAACGTCGGAGAAACCGCACTTCGGGAGCACCGCTATCCAGCGAATCCAGTGCTGAAAGAGACGAGCTAGGCGCTAAGCTATCGGAGTGGCTAAGCTAGCAGGCACCGGCCGCTTTAGCGCTCCTAACGTAACGGTCCCACATCTGCACGAGCCGCTGTTCTACCGTCCGGGGCTCGGTTGGAGATTATTCAACGTCTTCAAGAACCGTTTAGCTTTAATTCCCTTTGTGCCTCTTGAAAAATCTTTATGTCGCTTTGTTGCTTCATTTCGACCTCTTTGTTTAATTGATACTGTTGCGCGCAGTTCGAATGAACTCGTCCCCTCGTTAACCTCGCGCATACATCACAGGTCACACCGAGGCTTTTAATTAGTATACGATTTTAATTATTCATTGTGCCTCCGTGCTTGAATGAAAGGGTTTCCGAAGCGAATGCCCGAAGGAGTGTCGGTTTGTAACGGAAACTCTTTAAGTCCGCTCTAGCTCCTCGGCTCCTTCCACGATTCAGAGCAACACTTTGTGTGCAACCTGGCACCTTGCATGAAACAAAAACGGATGTTTAAGCTTTGCAGTTCACCAGGACAAAACACGTTCCCTCCGAATGGACACACACACACACACACACACACACACACACACACACACACACACACACACACGCGTAGACACACACACACACACACGCGCGTAGACACACACCAGACTGCCACTGATGCCACTTCTGCGCTTCATCCACATCTTCTGAATGGCTTTTTATGTGGCAAACTCCAGGGAACTGTTGGCACACTGCTCGTTTGGTCCCCCGTTCACGGGATGAACAATTGTTCGACAACACAAGTTGTGCGTGTTGTGTTGGGCATTTGCCTGCATGCACACAAGCGGGCGTGCCTTGCAGCGGAGGCCGAGTGCACTGTAACTGGAGACGGGGGGGGGGGTCTCACATGCCTCTGGGGGGATGGGGGGGTCACACAGTGGCTGGATTTAGAATACAAACTTTTGATTGGCAAGGAGGCATGCGCCTGCACTTACTGTCAGGGCGACCCCCCCACCCCTCCAACTACCAACCCATTTTATTTTATTAGCAGGAGGAAGGGGCAGATTGCAATATTTTATTTGGCTAAAGCTAAAATAATCAAAAGTATTTATACATTCTTTAGTCCATTTTTTTACTACACAATAATACTTACTTATATAATACTAATAAATGATTTATGTATAATACCAGTCCCAATTTTGGCATTTAAAGGCACCTTAACAGAATTAATGTTACTTCTAAGAAGGTGGGATCAGCTACTGTTTGGCATGTATGCTTTCGCTGTTGCTAACGGTTAATTTAATAACACAATTGTTCTCAACTAACTTTCTGGCAAATTGTATAGTTGAATAATAAACTAACGCTGTTGATTAAATTCCATCAATTGTCCCTCAATTATTAACTCAAAATGTAGTTAATGTTTCCCATCCTTTGATACAACTAATTGTCAAATAATAAGTACAGTGATTTTAGCAGGCGGTACTATTGCTCATCAAGAATAATATATAAACTTCTAAGTGTATGTTTGACTAAAAATGGACAAGTGGAGAGTAATTGCTATGTTTTACTGTATACTATCTTTTTTTCTACTACTGCTATATATTTAGGATTATCGATACTAGATGTTAACTGTTGCTAAGCATGCTTCAGTGATCACAAGGTTTTTTATTATATTAATATATATATATATATATATATATATATATATATATATATATATATTTATATTTATATTTTATAATTGCTATTTACATCACTTTGATTCTTTCAGCACGTGTTTGATTGGGTTTTCGGGGAAACAAATAATTTAACTGCAAAACCAGTATGAAAAGATCCATCCCCCGTTGAGCCAAAATCAGTTTAGTTTGGTGTCTCCGAAACACAATTAATTTCACCCAGTATGTAGCCTATTCCTTAAACCCCATTCCTCATTCTAATCACAGGGTTCCACAGCCACCTGCACGTAATTATCGGAATGTTTTTGCCCTCAGTTTAACTCTACAAGCGTAAAGCCAGGTTCTGTTCCTGTGGCCAGCTGCATGTAATCCACTGAAAGTTTGGACTCAGTTTCACAATGCCGTTTGTGATGTTGTAAAGCCTGGTTACCGGGGATAAGGAACTGCCATAATTTACTCTGCAATCAATGGCAGTCCGGAGCGCATTGTGTTCCGCGTCTCCTGGGAGAGGAAGCGATATTGGCTCCACACCGTGAAACCCCCCCCTGTTGTTGCACTGGAGCAGAGCTTTACGGTAGTCATGGTAGCCCCCGCTCACTGCAACAGGATCGCCTGCTTTCACTCTTGCACAAATGTTTGATTCTGTTTAAGAGACGAGAGACGAGGCTCATAGAGACAACACAGGACGATCAACAGTTTGAACGCCCTTGTTTATACCATTGTGTGTATTTTCTGATGTTGCAATGTGGAACTACATTCAACTGACATCAAAAAACTCCCACCAGGTTTGATTGTATGATTCCCTCCTTTTTATAGATGTAAAGAATATCGTCGGCTGTTGGAGAAAATTGATTACCTATTCAACAGAATGGGACATCTGTTGTAGAATTGGTGAGAATCATCTGCTGTTTTCCCTTAGCTAATGTCACAAAGTCAAGTGTTTTGTTGTTTCAGGAGGGACAATGAAGTAGATGATCCAGCAATGCTTGTGTATGTACAGTGTCAGCATTAGCCATGAAACAACAAGTCCCCGAGTTCCTTTTCATGTCCATTAGTCTGCCTTAGACCACACCCGCTCCAACAATGCCTGGCAAAAAGAGCGGTTACAGTAACTGTTTATATTGTTACGGCCTAAATTCATTCTCTGCAGCACTTTTACAAAGGAAAATTAGTCCCTCCATTATTCTTTGGGTGAATACATGGGATTGACTCCCTGCCCCCCCCCCCCCCCCCACACACACACCAAGTCAGGTTGCTAATTTTTTGTGTGTGCAGCTAATAACATTCAGTATGAGTCATCGCAACTTCGATACGCTTAGGTCGTCTTTTTAGAATCAGAATCGGAAACCATCACGATTTTAAATCCCCATAGTGCAGAATATGATGTATGAGGTTGAAGATGTGGGGGCCAGTTTTTAAAGTTTCTATGGAGATGTTTACGTTGCACCAATTTGCCATAGGCTGTGCTGTATCGTTTTCATGCTGGTGGTCATCCATACTGCATTCACTCGTGAGATAAGTTAATGGAATGTGACTTTGCCTGTGGCGGTGTACTGTAGCCTCTGGATTGGCCAACTGATGATTGGCAATGACCTATAGACTTTTAACGTAAGCAAGTACTTTTAAAATAATGCAATGAATAAAGTGAAAAGAAAGAGCCATGGTGACACGAATTAAACGGGGGTCTGGAGTCTAAGGTCAAACACTATTCTGAATTCTGGTTCTTTTTTAATGCACCGATTCCAGTGAGAAATGTATTTATTCATGTTGAGGACATTATAAGGCAATAGTACAGTGAGACTGTCTGTATTTCTTCAAAATGTTAAAAACAAATGCCCACATGAGTCAAAATACATGTGAGCATGGTTTATTCTTTGGCTCGCTGTCTTTTCTTTTGTGTATATAGCAATTCTCAGGATTTATCCAGCAAATGTGGCTTTTTACTTCCCCTTTATGGGTCTACTGTACGTTACACTGCAAGGTTTCTCTACATGCAAACTGAACTTTCATCATCAAATAATACATTTTTCAATTTGGAGGTGCATTTATAAGTTGCCTTAAACCTACTAGTCCTGTTGTGCATGTTTATTATCCTATATGGCTTTGTGCTTTCATTGGAAATTTGCCCGGCTTGTTCCAACAGTATAATAAGCACTTTCACTTTAGCAACTGATACTGCGTCCTGTTGTGGTTTTGGCATATCACAATAAAGTGGTTATCCTTTAAAACAACAGTATTTTTCTGGTGGTGTTTTTAAAATGGAATATGTTCCACTCTGTATCCCAACTCACTCCAACATATCATTTTGTTTTGCCTGTCAAGATTGTGAGGAGAACAGTTGAAGTTTCAGCACCAGCTGTGGATTGGAGATGGTCAAAGCAATAATTCATCGACTAGTTTCCACCTCGACGGTAAAGATAAGTCTCATTTCCATAGAAACAGGACTCTGGTGAATTTTGAAGAAGTAACATCTGGGCATCAGTAACTTGGCATGGGCCGCAAACAATGCAGTTGTGCATAATCAGGTGTGTCATTTGTGTGCGAAAAATCGGTGCGATTCTCACTTTTACGTCCAATCTTGCATGTGTGACATTTGCTTCAAATACAATCCGCCGGTCGCTGAGACACGGAAACACCGGCGCATACGCTCTCTCTCCGTGTTGTTTAACTCAGGCAAGTCGTGGTTTGTCCTGTGCCGCCTGTCGAGAATCAGCCGGGAGAAATTCCGCCTGCAAAATGCAGCAAACAGCTGTGACGCGATCTTTAGTGAGAGTTCTCTGTCTGGACCGAGGGAGGCCATGTGTGTTTGTAACCTTGTTTAAGGGGACTCCGCTATTTACCATGTCTTTCTGCATTTCACGGGCCACTGACTCCTGTTTAGCGTTGTGTAACAAAACTGTTGGGCTTGTTGCCGCGGTAATAGTGTTGTTTCGTGAGCTGTCCTTTATGAGCTAAAGGTCTTGCTGGGACCG